GTGTACCAACAAACCCGAGAGAATTTATGCATTTTTTTACGAATTATCGCCAACCCTAATAAAGAATCATACTTAAGAAAATTGAATGAATCCGGAACCGGTAAAGGATGTGGAACATAAAAAATTTCATATCATGTTATAGTGTCATAGTTAAGAAAAATTAATATTTAACGCCCATTTTTAATGCCCCATAAAAGGCGAGAAAGAACTGGCCAAATAAGTTCATTCGCCAATCTCAACACCGACCAAAAGTTGGCCGGTTCTTTCTCCCTGATATTTAATTAAATATATTTGTTGAATAAAGTTTAAAAAGAAAGCTTTCCTTTTAATCGGTGGATCGGCGCGCCCCAAGGGTGGGTTACCACTCTTGGGGCCCAACGCCGACTAACCCCCTGAAAAAGGGGTTAGGATAATAATATGGTGCCCCCAAAATTTTTCTATCTCCACCCAAAAAAAAAATATTCATATTTCCCCACTCTAATTAAAAAAAAATTTATTTTCTAAAAATACTCCAAAAATATTTTATTTAAAAAAAAATTATTCCTTCTTGTCATCAATCAAATTAATTTGGCAAAGAAAAATTTTGTTTATTAAACTAAAAATTCTTTTTGTTTATTAAACTAAATTTTTTCCTCTTCAATTTCTTGTGATTTTGTGGCCGGAAATGGGCAAAGATGAAGGAAAAAAGGAGAAACGCCTAATTTTTGGCCAATTTTTTACACCATCAAGTTCGCCAAATTGTGGTTTTTTTGGCGAGTCAATCTTTTATTTGGGTGTGATCATGCGCTCAAGTGAAAGAAAAATTCCCATAAATAGGAACACATTGGTCAACAATTTGGATCATTCCAAAGAAGAGCATCAAACAAGAAGCAGTCTACACTAGAAGAGCCTGAAGAGCCAGAATAACCTGAAGAGCCAGAATAACTTTGGAAGAAAAATAAACTGAGGGAAAGTCAAATCGAGTAAGCTTTGAGAAGCAATAGTCAATCAAAGTTTTAATAACTGGCGTTTAAAACTTTGATTCGGCTGATCTATTTTGGCTAATCTCTATTTGGTTTGCTGAGCTTTGAGTTGGCTTATTTGGTTTGACTGAGGTTGACCTGATTTGACTGGCTTTGAGTTAGCTGCTCTGGTTTGACTGAGCTTGGACTGGCTGATCTGATTTGGGTTGATTAATTTGATTTGGCCGATCCCTATTTGCTTCTGTAGCTGATTTGTTTGCGGATCTTTGGCTTGGATATTCAAAAGGGGAACCAGCCGATTTTGATTTGATTTGGCTGAACTTTGGCAGTTTTTTGGTTTATCTCGATTTGATTTTCTGAAAGGGAACCAGTTGATTTTGATTTGGCTGATCTTTATTTTCATCTGACGATTTTTGGATTAAAACATTCTGAAGTTTGCGGTTGTCGCTGAAGCTGAGGTTGGAAAAAGTTCGAAGACCATTGAATAGAAGGAAAGATTTTGGATTTGGTGGAAGGAAGCCGCGTAATCGTGGACCTATTATTCGAAGTTTTGAACTCAAATTCTTTTAGACGAGCCTCTAAATTTGAAACGCAGCCTTGGAATTGAAGAAACGTGCACGTTAAAAAAAAATAAAAGAGAAATTTTGGTTGATTTAAAAAAAAGAATCCCGAATCCCTGCCTAACAGTTTAGTGGACTAATCCGGCCGGTTATCTACTAAATCCCATCAAAAAGGGCAAAAAGCGCTATATAAATAAAAAGAAAAAAGAATAAAGAAGAGAGAAATAAAAGATATAAGTGTTAGGTAAATTTGGGAAATAAAAAAAAAAATTAAAAGAATCTGAGGGCTGGTTTGAGGTTAGATAACTCGCAATGAAGGATGAGAAGAACCCAGAACTTGGGATGAAAATGAAAAATGTGGATGATACCAGCGGAGGAAGTGTTTTGGGACTCCCTTATCCTAAATCCTATGATGGGTCAGAAGATTTTGTTTCTTATCTGAAGACGTTTAATCGTGTAGCCACGGCTCACGGATGGACTCCACCCAGATGTGCGCAAATTTTACCGCTGTATTTAACTGGCTCAGCTTTGGCGATGTATGAAGGAATGCCAGATAGGGAGAAAAATTCTTGGAAGGTTTTAATTGAAGGCTTAGCCAGCAGATTGAAAAAGATGTCAAGTAAAGAGACGGCTCTCGTGAAGCTGGCTGAAAGGAGGCAGGAATTTGGAGAATCACTGGAAGAATTTTCCAATGATTTGAAAAATCTGGTGGAACGAGCTTATCCAGATGCGTCCTTTGAATTGAATATTTCAGCACTCAAATTAGATGATGATCAAAAGAAAAATTTGAAAACCGAGATTGAAAAAATGGCCAAAAAATTCAGAGAGGAAATCTGCCTGGAAAGATTTAAATACGGACTGTTGCCGGAAATTAGGGAGAAAATCATCTTTATGAAGGTACCCTCGTCGTTGGCAGAAGCTGTGTCGCAAGCGAGAAGAGTGGAAGAGTTGAATGCAACAATTAAAGCGGATACTTGGAAAAGAATGGAGGAAATAGAGGTCAATGCGGCGCTAGCGGAAGTTAATGAAGTAGGTGAGATAAGTGCAGATCCGGATAATGACTGGGGCGGGGAAATGACTGACCCGAATTTTGGCCTATATTATAAGAATGAAGATGAATATTATAATGACCATGCCCAATATTATGACCATGAACAAAATTATGACGGCGAGGAGTGCCATTGGTTGCCAAATGAAAATAATGAGTATTGGGGAGAGGAAGAGTATCAAGATCAATTTGGCAATGATTGTTGTTTCGATGATCAAGGTGATCAATACTGGCCCACAGATCAAACGAGATTTGATGACTATTGAGGAATTAAAAAAATACTTGGTGATGGTTTTAAAACTCAATCTTTGCGCTATGCTTATTTCGATGTTACCCCCACCCCCCAGGAGAGGAAGAAAAAGCGGATTTTGGCCCTTATTTTAGCCCAGCCCTGTGACATTTTCTTGGATGAACGCCTTGTTGTTATATATTTTTTCGATTTTCACTAAAATTTTCTTATCTCCATTCTCTACTATTACTGATCCAATTTTAAAATTTGCCGCTGTCATATGCATCCAAGTCAGGGGAATTTGTTGAACTGAAGCAGCATTTTGGCGCGATTAAATTTGATGGCAAAAAATGGAAGCGAAGAGATTGAGAGAGAGGATATTGAAAAAGAAAGATAAATGAATAATTTAAAAAAAAATCAAGATAATATTTTCACACATTTTTTGCCATATCCGCTTCTCCTGTTGTATCCCCCACCCCCCGCGTATAGAATGTCATAGTTAAGAAAAATTAATATTTAACGCCCATTTTTAATGCCCCATAAAAGGCGAGAAAGAACTGGCCAAATAAGTTCATTCGCCAATCTCAACACCGACCAAAAGTTGGCCGGTTCTTTCTCCCTGATATTTAATTAAATATATTTGTTGAATAAAGTTTAAAAAGAAAGCTTTCCTTTTAATCGGTGGATCGGCGCGCCCCAAGGGTGGGTTACCACTCTTGGGGCCCAACGCCGACTAACCCCCTGAAAAAGGGGTTAGGATAATAATATATAGAAAATGACGATACCCATTCAAATCAGCATAAAAACAGGCAATAAAAATAATAACTCCCAACCCTAATTAAAATTTTAATAATACCTTCTTTATGCCTTAAAATAGCTTTCACATCGTTCGAAGAATCAAATGCTGCCATTCGCATATGTAGTCCTAAAATTCCATTTAAAAAATTATAAGAAATTAAAATATGAAAAAATTATTGTTTTTAATAAACAAAAATGAGAAAAAAATAATTGAAATACAATAATTTTATTTAAAAAAAGCAAAACAAAAAATTGAAATAAATCAATTGCTGTTATGTCCCTTTATTTTAATTATCAGGCTTTCCGCCACGTCTCAGCTTCGGTCCGCCACTTTTGAAACGCTTAGTTTCCGGTTTTTGAGCTGATTTTGGACTAAAATAATTAAAAAATATTAATAATTGAAGTAATGTTTGTGACTTAATAAAGATAACTACTAATAAAAAAAATACCCTTCAACTCCACTCCAAAATTTACGTTGAACAGTAGAATCATCAGCACAAGTAAATAATTGTTTAATGTTCTCCACTTCATCGGTAATACGTTTCTCATTAGCACTAAATTCTGCCACAAATTTGTTGGCACTAAAAATAAAAGTTTATTTGAACTATTCACAAACTGTTTTAAACGACAAAATTTTACTTATTTTCAAAAAAACTTAATCACAGAAAATTTCTGAAAATAAATGTTTTATGAAATCCACACCCCACTCTAAAATTATCTACCCAAATTTTCGTTAATTTAAAGCCATACCCCTCAACCTGTCCAGACAACAAATTCACAAAATCCCCACAACGCTTACTCCATTCCTCCAATGTTTGAGTCATAAAATCCATATCAAGATTCTCAACACAAGAAGCTCTCCAATCAATTACTTCCAAACAATGATTAACTGCGTTAAGTTTTCCCTCAAAAATTTATTTTAAAAAATGAAATTTAAAATAAAAACCTTAATAATTCCTTGATAAATAGCTTGAATAATAAAATCTTCAAGTTCTCTCTCATTTCCAATTCCGAGCGAAGTCATTAATAAATCATATGGAACTACACGATTTTTTGAAGTAATCGAAACAAGAATTCCATATTGTGCTGCTGAACTTGTTAGGGTCATATTTTAAAATTTCTTTAAAGAAAATTGAATCTAGAAATAAAGGATAAAATACACAAAACCTACAAAAACTTACAATTAAAACAGAAAAACTGGGTGAGACTAAAATGACACATGTTAGACCAGACTCAAATTGACAAGATTAATTTGGCAAAATGTATTTTTTGTGCCAAACGGCCAAAATTTAAATTTTTCGACTTTTTCTTTTCGTAAAAATTTTTCTTTTTAGTATTTGTCAAATTTTTTATTTTCTTTTTGTTTTTAAAGACTTTCTTCAAATATTTTACTTAAATTAATCATGACGACATTGGACAATGTTGGAATGTTAAGTATATTTGTTCGTGCCTATGAAAAACGTGGAGAGGGGATAAATGCATTTATTGCTTATAAAATTGAGACTAAAGTATTTTAATTTTCTTTTTTCAAGATTTCTTTAAATCTATAGATTTCTAACATTCCGGGATATACAAAAAATCATTTCGAAGTTTGGCGACGTTTTAGTGACTTTCTTGGATTACGTGAGAAGTTGGCGTTAAAATATCAACATAAAGGGGTTATTGTTCCTTATACGCCAGAAAAAAGTATTACTTCATTGACCAAAACAAAACTTACGACTGGAGAGGAACACAGGTTTTTTAATAACAAAATTTGGATTATTGGGTTGAGGGTTCCAGATTGCTATAGTCCCTAGGATCTTGAAATTCTTATGCGGTTTAAATATTTTTGCCTTTGATTGCCCGAATCAACTACTCAATTCACGGGAATTTCCCTAATTGAAGCATTTTCCCTCCCCTTTTTTTTCCTTTCACAGGGCTAATTTAAATTTTAATAGTTTTTGTTTAATGATTTAATATATTTTTAATTTTAAAGCGAAGCAACAGACAGACGTTCTCGATTGTTGGAACGTTTTTTGCGCCGACTAGTGTTACAACCTCAACTGATTAATGATGAGGACTTGCGTGAATTTCTTTCTTCTGAGGTTGACTTGCCTAAAGCTAATTTTACTTCGACTTTTAGTGGGAGCAGTGTTCTGAAGGTTTTAATTTTACCTTATTAATTTTTTTGGAATATACCTTTGTCCTTACGATAAGTCTGATTATTACCTGATAAGGGAGCGATTATGTAATCTTGTTATATAAATAGCATTTATAAAACAACCAGAATTTTGATTTTTCAAAATTTTGAGTTATTCTAATATTAAATCAATTTTTTTAGATTTTCAAGTCAGTCGGCGATGCTTTCACGAGAATTGCTTTTCCGATGGATGAAAATGATCGATGGTATTTTTTTATTTTATCAACAAGGAGATATCCAAAGGTTTTTGTGCAAAGTAAACACTAAAGACTTTGTGGCTTCCCGAAATTCGACCTCTAGAAATATGTGGGCATTCCTTCAAGAATAATGAATTCACTGCATAATTATTTTATTAATATGTAAGAAATATAGGAATGGGTAACCAATAGTCATAAACAAAATGGATATGTAATGTCTATTCGTTATTTACTAGGTTTGAACAAGCTCATAGTCAAGTGGAGGAATTGGAAGAATTATTGACTCGTCTTCAAACACATATAGATAATTTGGTTGGTTATCGAAAAGAATTGGCTATTGCTGATGAGCAATTGAGTAAAACTATTAATTTGCTTGCCTCTTCTGAAGAAAATACTGGATTAGCTCGAATCCTCTCCCGTTTGGCTGAAACACAAGAAAAATTGGCGGTAGTGGAAAAACATGAATCTGAACAGGATGCTCAACAACTGGCTGAAAGTTTTCAAGTAGGAAATTTTAATTTAAGGATGGGATGTGGACCTGCAAAGTAAAATTAGAGGGCCTGTCCGCTAATTTTTAAATTTACTCTCGATTTTTAATAGAATTAATGTTTTTAATTTTAACAATTAATTTATTATTAAATAGGAACAACTACAATTATTGTCTGTTTTGAAGGAAGTATTTTATGAACGTGTTAGAGGCTGGCAAAATTGGCAAAGTCAACAACAAATTTTAACAAAGAAGCGGGAAACTAAGACGAGAATGTATTTTTATAATTCAAATCATTCTTAAAAATTTTATATTTATTTTTAAAGGGAATTAGCTGGTCGAGGTGAATGTGTTGCACAATGTCGGGAGGATCTCCGAAATTCTGAGAGTATGGCTGACCAAATGGAAAAAGATTTTTTGTTGATTAGCAAAGTAAATTTTGGTTTTAAATTTTACAAGTTGAAAATCTTTAAATTTTTGGAGGTGATATTTTGATTCCGTTTGTCCTTGATATAATTTTTTGTTTATTTCGGTTCCTCTGGATTCGGTTCCTCTAATTGTTGCATTCATACCCAAACCTTATTCGGATAAATGGAAGCTCCGTAACGTCATTCCTTATTAAGTCTGCTAAATTTGTTCATGAGGAATAGATTTTGCCTGGTTTCTTACCGTTTTACTTCGGCAAATCGGTCGAGGGATTACGTTACTATATTGAGATCTAATGTATTTGAAATCTTTTTTAATTATTCAAATTCTTATTTTAACAGACAATCCGTGAGGAATATGTACGTCAGGCAAAACAACGTCGTGAGGATTTGAAGCAAACCATTATTGGTTATTTGGAGGGATTACTTGAGAGTGAACAACACACGCTTGAGCATTGGGAACGGTATGCTGAAGTAGCTAAAGTTTAATGGCAAAATTGACATAATTTTTAAGAATAATTCCAAATGACTTTATACCGGTAAAATTTTCTAATTTATTTATTATAAATCTCGTTGACTTGAAAATTGTTTTTTATTTATAAATAAATATTGTCAATAAATTTCAAACGTTTTTTTAACTTTCAAAGTCCTAGTGTGCAGTCTAACCTAGTGACTAACAGAATAACACAAGAATAGATTAACACGTTTATCCCATAGTTAATTCAGGAATAACGAATGTGGCGAAAGACGAGAATAACTAAGGACAGGCGGGGACGGTCGGCCCCGGTGCCAATCAAGACTGAACTCTAATGCCTGTTTTTATATTAGACCCTCACATACCTAACAGGAACCTAAATCAGAAACTTACATAGCAAAAAGGATTAAAACGGGCATTTCAAACAAAAGTATAATTTATCGGACATAACGCCAAGTAACAAAGCTATTGCTTAATTTATTTTTTCTTTATCCAATGTCTTATTTATGGCTCCATGACAATTGTACAGTGGGACAATTGTACAGTGAGACAATTGTACAGAAGACAATTGTACAGTGGACAATTGTACAGTATTATGAGCTTTTTAAAAAAATTTAATGTTAACCCAAAGTATCGAAAACATGTGATCAACAATAAATTTTTTAATTTTATTATAGTATACAACATGGGGAAGTTGTTCCAATGACGGAACGAACTTCAATGTGTTGAATTGATAAGCCAAGTCGGTGATCAATCGTGTGAGTGATCAAGTAATCAAGCAAGGGTGATCACTCAGTGGAGTGATAAACTTGGAAAGTGAAAATCGGAAAAAGTTGAGAAATATCGTATCGACAACCGAGTGATGATCAACCGGAAGAATGATCAAACGAGAGCAATAAACGACACCAATATCAATCACCTTAGTGATAAATTAATACTCACCTTAGAGATTAATTGATCAATCGATCATTCTCTCAGTTGATTAATTGAAAAATTTGATCAAAATAAGCTTCCCCGTCATTGAACAACCTCCCCATGTTGTATAATAAAATTTGAAAAATTTAGTGTTGATCATATGGTTTTCGATACTTTGGGTCATATTTCTTACTTATTAGAGCAAAATTAAATTTCTTTTTAAAAAGTTCTGAATACTGTACAATTGTCCACTGTACAATCGTCCGCTGTACAATTGTCTCACTGTACAATTGTCCCACTGTACAATTGTCGTGCCACCCTTATTTATAAGTGCTGTTTTTCAATTCCATCCAGATTTTGGTTACTGACTGTGCAATTTCATATCTCGGCCTAACATCTAAAATTCGATATTATCGAAAATATTTAGGAAAATATTCAATCTAATTTAAAACTGAATTTCGTAGTTTTGAAGAATAAATAAAAATAAAAATCTTGTAAGATTTTCTTGGCCGGAAATTACTTCCTTCTTCGTCATCTATAGTTTTACTAAATTTTATTTGTTAAAGTTTTAAATCAAATAAAAATGATTGGAGGTGAACTTTTTTCCAATTCTGATGAAGAAGAGCTTGATTTGGAAATTAATCAGGTTTTTTTGTTAAAATAATCCTGTTTTGATTTTTAAAGAGCAAAAATGATGGTGATAAAGTAAATCAATTATTAATTTCGCCATCTAAAAAATGTGAGGGAGAATCATCGCAGGTATCGCCACTACAAAAAGAAGATGCATCAAACCTGGTAATTTTTGATTTTTCTTAATTTCTGTTGAAAATCTTGAAATTTAAGGTTCAGCCACATTTATTTAATATGCCTACAGATAACTCACAACAAAAACAGTCAAAATCTAGCGAGGATGATAACTTTACAAACGTGCTAGCTAATGGTCAAATTTGTATATTTGTTCGTGCCTATGAAAAACGTGGAGAGGGGATAAATGCATTTATTGCTTATAAAATTGAGACTAAAGTATTTTAATTTTCTTTTTTCAAGATTTCTTTAAATTTATAGATTTCTAACATTCCGGGCTATACAAAAAATCATTTCGAAGTTTGGCGACGTTTTAGTGACTTTCTTGGATTACGTGAAAAATTGGCAATTAAATATCAACATAAAGGGGTTATTGTTCCTTATACACCAGAAAAAAGTATTACTTCATTGACTAAAACAAAACTTACAACTGGAGAGGAGCACAGGTTTTCTAAAAACAAAATTTTTTTAATTTCTGATTCCAATAGTGAGGCGGCTGATAAACGCTCTCGATTGTTGGAACGTTTTCTTCGTCGTATAGCGTTACATCCTAGACTTGTTGTGGACGATGACATGCGAGACTTTCTATCCTTTGAGGGGGACTTGCCTAAAGCTAATTTTACTTCGACTTTTAGTGGAAATTCTGTTATGAAGGTTTTGTATTTACCTATTTAATTACAATATTCTTAAGAGAAACATTGATTTCTGGTTTCTATCTTCTAGAATTCTAATTTAAATTTTTAAACAAGACTTGTTTTGATAAAGATTGAATCGGAATTTCATAATTTTTAAACAGAAACAAACCAACAAAAAACGTTTCTAGTCAGAGATATTGTTTTTAGATGTTCAAATCGGTAGGCGATGCCTTCACAAAAATTGCTTTTCCAATGGATGAAAATGATCGATGGTACTTTATTATTAAATGAACTCGATTGCAGTCTATTAGTCTAATCAAAAATCGGAATCTTAAGTTTGGATTGGACTAATAAATTGTTGTTGAGCCTTAAAATATTAATTCAAAAAAAGGTTTGAACAAGCTCATAGTCAAGTGGAGGAATTGGAAGAATTATTGACTCGTCTTCAGACACATATAGATAATTTGGTTGGTTATCGAAAAGAATTGGCAATTGCTGATGAGCAATTGAGTAAAACTATTGCTTTGCTTACTTCTTCTGAAGAAAATACTGGATTAGCTAAAACTCTTTCTCGTTTGGCTGAAACACATGAAAAGTTGGCGGTAGTGGAAAAACACGAATCTGAACAGGATGCTCAACAATTAGCTGAAAGTTTTCAGGTGGGAAAAGTCAATTTACGAATAAGTCATTAAGTCCCATTAACCAGCAAAATAAAATTAGAGGGGCCTGTCCGCTAATTTTTAAATTTGCTCAATATTATCAATTAGGAACAACTTCAATTAATGTCCGTTTTGAAAGAGGTATTCTATGAACGTGTAAAAGGTTGGCAAAATTGGCAGAATCATCAACAGATATTAACAAAGAAGCGAGAAATCAAGACTAGAATGTATTTTTATAATTGGATTTTTTGAATTTTTATATTTTTAAAGGGAATTGGCTGGTCGGGGTGAACGTGTTGCACAATGTCGGGAAGATTTGCGTGAGTCTGAAAATAAGGCCGATCAAATGGAAAAGGATTTTTTGGTTACGAGCAAAGTAAAATTTATACTAAAACCCTGTCTATAAATTCGCTTTCAATAATTTCTTATACCAACATTAATAAAAAGATTTAATTTAAGACAATCCGTGAGGAATATGTACGTCAGGCAAAACAGCGGCGTGAGGATTTAAAACAAACCATTATTGGATATTTGGAGGCGTTATTAGAAAGCGAACAACATACCCTTGAACATTGGGAACGATTTGCTACAGAAGCTAAAAATCAATAAGGAAATTTTATCAGTATTATTCAATTATAAAATTAACTGGAGCTATTCCATGTAATGACTTTAAATACAAACATGTTTATTGGTAATTCTGAGGCTATGATTCCCATTTTATCTGAATTTCGTTCTCTTATTCTCTATCAAGCAGTCTTCGAAAATCGGTAGAAAAAAACGTCGAAATTCGAATTTTTTAAAATAAATAAAAGAGTATTAAACAATTCGCAATATGGAGATATAAGGGTTAATCTTGAGATAAGAGGATTCAATGGATTAAGGGTAGTCTTAAGGGATATCAGTGATCGGAGGGATATACATGATTAGGGTAAAAAAGGATTAGAAATTAAATGTGGCGAATTATTATATTTTTCTGAGTTAAATGTTTCAAAATTCCAATTTTATTTTTAAATAAACAATCATTTTGATGATTTAATGGTAATACTTCGGCTGACACCTTTTTTCCTTTCATTGTTTTGCTTTTTAAATAAAATTAAATATCATTCGAAATAGCAATTCGAGCTGAGTCGAATGGCACTAAAATAAACAAAATCTGAGAAAATAACTAGGTTATGACACGCACAGCAGTTTTTCAAAAATCCTCTTGGTATTATTTGGTCTAATTCGAAAAATTTTGTGTGAAGTAATAAATTATATAAACAAAAAAGCTCAAAGGTCCGGAAATTTTAGCAATTAATTTTGTATCCGGACAATGGAATCTCCTAAAAGATGGAAAAGATGATTATTTCCTAGAAGATTAATGTGGCGATTCTGCGCGTAAAATTATTTGAGCATTTTTGTTTAAATTAACTTTTTTGATAAAATCTAGTCAGTTTTGTTTGTATATCTAGTTGATTTTTGGGATTTGTTTGAAAGGCACTGCTAAAAATGCTTTTCGATTTTATTAATTTTTTTATTACTCTATAAGAAAATATAAAAACAAAGCCCAAACACTTTATTCCAAATCTTTAATATTACAACAGTATAATTTCGAGGGGTTTCTCATATTTTTCATAAATACAATATATTTTTATTTACCACTTTTTTCTGGTTATTAATGTAGTTCGTGGGGAATAAGCCGGCTTAAAACGCTAATATTAAATAGGGGATGGTAATCTTACCTATCCATCCGCGGATGGGGGTTCACAAAATTGTGATCACAAGTTGGCTATCACCAAGCTGTAAAGGAGCATAAGCAAAGTATAATATAAAGGAGTATGTATTCGGTTTTTGATAGATTTATGAGACAAAAATAGAATGAATTAGTTTTATAAGTTTTTTGAAAATTATTTTAGTTCGGCTCATAAATCTATCAAATTCTATGGGATATATTATAGCCGGTAACCAGTTTTTAAAGATATACTACTTGAAATAGCGATAATGAGCTAGCAAAGTACAAATATGTACTAATGAGCTAGCAAAGTACAAATATGTACTTTGCTAGCGAAAAGAATAAAAGTGAGATATTTAAATATTTTTAGAAACCGGACACCTGCTCAAGTAGACACTTCATGAATTATTAAGAGGAAATACATAGCATTATTGAAATAAAAATCAAGGATAGAATGCCTAATAAATTGACTAAAGTACTTAACATTAAAAGCTTTAAAGCACACTCAGGATCATGCATTAATTTTTCGACTAAAATTGATCTTTCATAAGACAAAAAACAAAAAATTTCCAACTCGACTGAGTGTGCCAATATTTACGCGTACAACCCAAGCTGATAAACTTTAGTTGCTAAAAATGTGTGTAAAATAAAAACTACTGCTTTGGGAGAACCCAATAAATCTAATTCCTGTTCACCCCCTCCCCCAATAAATTCTATCCACAAAAATTGTTTCCCATCATCTCCAGTAACTCTAATCGCTTCGAATGGATATTCCCAATGTAGTTGGCCACCAGCAGAGTCATTCAGACTCAAACCCCTCTCCAAATGTATATTAAGTTCACAACGTCTTTCTTGCCAAATACATGGAGCATTTACTTGAAGAGTACTTTCACAAGCTTCATATGTGTTTTGAATCATTGTCTGAAAGAGATGAATTAAAAATTTTTTTTAAATATTTTTCAAAGATTATTAATTGAACCATTCTTGGTTAAACCCATTTTTAGTTCTCTTATAATAAGGTACATCTTAAATAGGATTATTGTTTATGCATCTCGCCCACCCCGTGGTTAAAAACATATTAAAGGTGTATTTATAGTAATAATTGGCGTATGTGATACGATTATCTTCTAAGACGGCTTTTTATGATAGTAAAGTTGACCCTCCAAAATTAAAAAAATTAACCTTAACCCAAGATGCCAATTCCCTGTGTGTTTCCACTCTAAATAGATGTGTTCGAATGCCCTCTTGTGTGCCAGTTCTTGTTGTAAAACTAATAACATCCGAAAGTCCAGCAATTACAGGAAAACTTCTTGCAGTAGTTTGAACAACCCTTGTTGCTATAAGCGGGCGCATGATCATTGGACGAGCCCATTCCTATTGGTTATAGGGGAAATTTTCTAAAATTTTAGCATTCTTTTAAAACCTGTTTAATTGCTGGCACCGAATCATAAATTAACAAATCATTAACTGTTAAAGCAACAAAAACTGCCCGCCACCGACCACAATCAGAAGGACTCTAAATTTTTGTTTAAATTATTTTTTAACAATTTTAAAAATACTTGTTCAGCCAACCATCCCATTCTACGAACTTGTGGATTTTGGCCGAGAATTAAATTAACTTGGGCCAATGCTTGGGTAAGTAAAGCTTCTACACAAGCATGGATAGCTTCGAACCAAGCATCTGCTTCTAATGAATTTGCACATCTAAAATAGTAAAAAATTTATTTATTTTCGGATTTAATTAGAGTGTCAAATTTAACCAGAGAAAAGCTTTCAACTTTAATCCGCAAAAAGGTACTTTTCCGTTATGACGTAATACCCAAAATTAATGTTCAAAACGTCATATATAGGGTAGAAAAAGGTGCTGAGTCGAATGGTATTACTCTTTTTTCACGGAGATGCCTATGGACCGAGATATAGAGCTCGAAATGGTCAAAAACCATAGGGGGGAGTAAGCTTAAATTTGGGGTGAAAAGTTCCATTTTTTGAATGATAGCTCATTCGAAAGAGCTCCTCGAGCTGAGTCGAATGACACCAAAATCAGCTCAAAATCTTGATTTTGAGACTAGATGAACAAGCTCAAAATGGTCAACGCAAACCTATGGGGCGTAGGCGAGGCGCACTTCCCCTATGGTTTTTGACCATTTCGAGCTCTATATCTCGGTCCACAGGCATCTCCGTGAAAAAAGAGTGGTACCATTCGACTCAGCACCTTTTTCTACCCTATATATGACATTTTGAACGTCAATTTAGGGTGTTACGTCATAACGGAAAAGTACCCGCAAAAATAATACATAATTATTTTTGGCTGTTTCCCCCCAATTTATCTAGATAAGGCCTACGTATTTATTTGTATTTAGTTATTAATATTATTCTAGTATTCGAATTAAATCTTGATATGACATTCGTATAACTTCTTATTACAGTGGGGTGCAAAAGTAATGACTCATAGGTCGCGCTAACGAATTTAGGACTATAACTTTTTAGGAAATGGTCCAAATGAAACTCATAATAGGTGAAAATGTTCCCCAAGGTGTCAGCTTCAAATATATGTATATAAAATTTGGCTAAAATTAATTTAAGCGCGAAAGTTAATAAATATTAAATGAGACTACCTCAATTCTGGCTTACTAAAAGTTTGATATTTTTCACTATTTCTCTATAAACAATTTTAAAATCACCTCAAAGTCAAAACATGCCGAGCACTATGGGATCTAATTTCAATAATTCTTCCCTCAAAATCTTCTTCATTCGGTACCAAAGGTGTTCTCGTCACAAAAGATAATTTTAAAGCAAAAATTCTTCGAGAATTTTGATGAGATTCTTGAATTATATTTATTGTTGAAAGACGATCAGAAGGAAGTAGGGAAGGGGTTGTTGCTACTGTTGTTGGGGTATCATCCCAACTTAAACGATGAAGAATATTTTCACGTCGAAGATGTAAATCACGACGATATTGGACTGAAAAGAGAATTCTTATAATGAGTTCTTTTCCATATATTTGCAAACTAAAAGAAAGTTTTTTCGTCCAATTTTCTTTATTCCTTAAAAGTTTTACTCTCTTTGGGTCTAAATTCTAGAACCTGCAAAATGCAAATTGCTTGGAAAAAGTCCGAAAGTTTAATCCAGAAAAATTAAAACGATTTTTGGCCGCCTTAGAGTAATATATTTCCTTAAATGTTTTTGTTTCCCCATATACGCTCATAATCATTTAAATTAGAACTTGACATGAAAATTTTTTGATTTTAGTGAGAAAAAAACCATAAATTAGCTAATATTTCTGCTTAGGTATGCTCTAATCTTATCCGAAAATTTTACTGATTTTGGCTAATTTTCGATAAACTCTCCAAAAACTTGCCTTGTAAATTAACAACCTTTCCAGCTTGTTTTAACGCTCTAACAGCCTCTTCATGTTTAGTATTTGCCATAGATTCCCCATTAACAGCTAATATAACATCCCCAACAAATAAAGAATTTGTTTGGTCAGCAGGCATTCCAGAAAAGATTTTACTTATCACAATAGGTCTGCCTGCCTCTGCACCTCCTTGAATGCTTATTCCTATACCTAAATTATTTAAATTTTAGTTTAAAGTTTGAAATTTTTATTAATATAAACAGTATTATCTCCAATAGAATGACTCTCCCCTCAATTCGATCGAATGGTCCCCTCTAATAAAATGACTGGCCACTCAATTAGAAATAATACGGTTTTTTGTACTTTATTTTTGCGGAAAATATTTTCAAATATTTCATTCAAAGATTAATATTAGAGAAGTAAAGGAGGAACATTAAAAATGTTAGTAAGTCAATGCTAGTAAGATTATTCGAATAATTATCCGCAAAAATCAAAATTTTAACCAATTTTTGTTTAATTTAAATTAAAAACCTTCTCCCTCTC